TGGCTGCCCACTGGGTGAATGGGTTAAATGCAGAGGAGTAATTTCCCTATGGGGACTAACACATACACATTATTATTACATTATTATTATTATTACAAGAGAGACCTGTTTCAGACAGCATAATAAAATTAAAATTAGAAAACCACATTAAAATAGCTGAAAGAGTCATATTAAAAACAAGAGCAAGTTCCCAGTAATGATGTCAGAAAATCATTTAACCCTTTGATGCATGAATTATGACAACTTCAATCAGGATTTTTTCTTAAGTATTTTTTTTTTCACCTTAAGCCTTCATTTTTTTAAACATGTACTTTTCAAAGAGTTTTTTTACATGTCCACTTAGGTGGACAACATCACCTTTGGAGTGGCTGGCAGGGTATGGATTGACGCACCAGTGTCCAATGTAGTGGTTTATGTGCAAGTATACTATCAACACTGACACAAATACAAGAAAACAGCACCAAAGCATTCCCACAGCTGCACCAAAGCATTCCCACAGAAAACAGCTGTGCACTGTAGTGACCACTGTGTGTGAAAGGGTTAAATGTATTTTAAAGTCTGCATGTGAAATTAATTGAGAGAGCTGCAAGTCCTTCCTTAGTACGCTAAGAACAACCTGGAGAAAGATGATGCATACTGCAAGTGCCTTCTTTGGCCCATGTAAAAACAAGAGCTCTTTGGCAGAGACACTGCTTATATTTATGTTTAAATAGGGGAGAGGTGTTCAACCGAAAGAACAGCATCCCCACAGTGAAACACAGCAGTGGGAGGATTATGCTGTGGGAATGCTTTGGTGCATCTTTACACATCAAAGTGTAAAGAACCATGGGGAAAGAAAATTGTAAAGATTTTGCAAGAAAACCTCAAACAGTGATTTAGCAAAAACTGGGTCTGGGTTGTTTCCCTGCACAAAAGAAATTTTCATAGGTGGGCAAACAATCTTGTACACATCTGTATCAGCTGAAAAGTTCAGATTCTGTATCTCAAGCATTTGGTTGGAATAGCTGATTAAAACAGGATCTATGTTAAAGTCAAATTATGTCAGTTACAATATAATTAATCGTGTCAAATACATGTTCATACTTCTGGTCAGAGGAATACAAATTTTTAAATTAATCTTTTTTTTTCTTTAAATTTTCACACTTGTTGAATGTATTAGGAATTGACAGTGATATTGGATTTGGAAATTTCAGAATGACATAAGTACAAAAATAAGTAATTGCATAAATAAATACCCCGAGGGATTGTTGGTAGCTTACAATCATCAGAGTTTATGGATTGTCTTTCAGACAACAGAAACTTAAATGGTGTTTTCTCCTCCTTCCTTGTCTTAAGGTGCAGCCCTCACAGAGATGACTACATCACTGTTGCTCCACAGGACAGTCTTGCTGACTGTAGTCTTCTGTAACTTGCCTTGCATCGCTTCCTCCCTCAACCTGGAGGATCCCAATGTCTGCAGCCACTGGGAGAGGTTAGTCAAGATAATAGCCCATGAAGGGCAATAAAGGCATTCAGCCTTAGGTGTCCTTTACCCGCCTCCAGACTATACTAACCATCGCCGTAACATTACGCCCCTGATACTAACATTACATACTAATGCACTAACAGTGGAAATGTGTTATCAACCTGATAACTTTCTTAAGCTGTGTTTAAAGTGTCAATACTTAGCAGTCTGTTTTTTCCATTTGCAAGGATGAAAAAAACTTCTATGTTCAGGACTATCCCAGTAAAGCTGAGCATCGCTCATTTTCCTAATTATAGTACCATCATTCCACTGAATGCTAAAGACACAGTTACTAGAGTTTGTGCACACACAGACTTACCTGTAGAGGTTACTGATGAGACTTACATGACTTACAGAGAATCTGTTCTGTTCAGCCTCATAACGCAGAAACATGTCTTCAAAACAAGGCTGAACACAAAAAGTTTCTCTGTCAAGGTTTGTCAAAACTTGCAGAGTACTTTGTTTGCAGAGTACTTTGTTTGCAGAGTACTTTCAGCTTTTGCTCTCTGCTGAAACCGAAAGCTGAAACCTGAGCTTTTGACTGGCTCACTTTAATATATAAATCCAGCACTGTAACAGTTTGCATAAGATATTAGAAACCATATGCATTTCCATTGTTAAACAAATGACACCTATTTATATTTCTATATGAAGGCCAATAACCTCAATTGGTTGCCCTGCAGGCATAGCATAAAGATGTTATGACCTAT